AGGACAGCACAGCAAGGAGGCCTGGGAAGTCAATGTCCCTTGGTTGAGAAAGCCGAGTTAGGATCACTTGCACTTTTAGTATTGACAGCTGCATTTAGATCTTTCTCCCGGCTCATGACTCTTCCCATTTCCAAAAAAATCAGAGCATCCCTTTTCCCACCTCTTTAAAACTTCCAACCCCATTGATTTAATAGCTATTCATGTTTTTCCCATGTAAAATTTTCAGTAAATATTTATATGTCCAATCACCATTTCAATCTATTTTTATTACAGTTCATTATCTACAGTTAACATTTCAAATGAGCATACAGATTATTGTTTCTTAACTGGTTTTCATATATTTTGGCAGTAAAAACTTTAATATTTTATTTAGTTAAATATGTGTCTCGCTTCTTACTTCTGATTTTCTTGTCTTAATTAAGATAAATTTCCCACTCACAGATTTTGTATATAGTCTTCCTGGATGTTTATCTGAAATGTATTAATTACGTTTACACCAAGTTCTTTTAACTCCTCTGACCTTTTGGTAACACATGATATGTGAGCTAGGGGGCCACCTTTATTTTACTCCAGATACACAGTGTTATGGCTTAGATACTTGTTTTCCAAAAGCTCATTTGTGAGAAAATGCAAGAAAGTTTAGAAGCGAAATGATTGGGGTTATAAGATCCTCAAGCCAGTCCGTGAATTAATCCCCTGATAGGGATTAACTGAGTGGTGACTGTAGGCAGGTGGAGTGTGGCTGGAGGAGGTGGGTCCCTGGGGGCATGCCTTTGGGGTTTATATTGTATTTATATTTATTGAGTGGAGCTCTGTGCTTCCTGATTGTCATGCCCTGACCTGCTTTCCTCCACCACGGTGTTCTCCCTCACCCTGAGCCCCAAGGAGTGGAGTCAGCCATCTAATGGACTGAGACCTCTGAAGCTGTGAGTCACCAAATCAACATTTCCTCCTTAAAATTATTCTTCTTGGGTCCTTTGATCTCAGCAGTGAAAAAGCTGACTAAAGCACACAGCCACTTACACCAGCTTTTATTTAACTTTTTAAGCTTTACCAAATGTAATTTTGCCATTTAACAAATTTCCATATATGCTGAGACATAATTCCTAATTCAGCAAATAATTATAAGAAATCTATATATGTATGTGTGTATATGTGTGTATACACATATCAAATTATGTACCAATTTAATTATGAACCCATGTTGATATAATTAAATTGCTAAAATTTCTTTCTTCCTTTATGTTTAATTCTTTTTAAAATGTTGTTTGTTATGGTTATTTTGAAACCAAGGTATTCAACCTGGTTCTATTGCCTTGCAATTATTTTTATTTCAAAACTTCTTCAAAATGAACCCTATTATGATATATAACTATAATATACTAACAAAAACATTTTAAAAAACTTCTCCCATGCTGTAAACTTTCTAAATAATGCACATGTATTCACATATCATTGTGAAAACATAAAGGTGAAAATAGCAGATGAAAATCCCTGCTCATTTGTCCCTTGCATTAAAATGGCACAGAGTATAGCCAAATAAATGTGTGTGGCATCGTGTCCTCAGATATATACCATATGGAGAGTTTCATGTGTGTGAAAGGTTGTACTCATCACAGGAGCACAATTTTGTAGAGTAGGGGGGGCCTTCAAATGTTGGACTAAGTCCAGAACAGGACCAGGGTGAGCCCATCTGGTGCGTCAGAGAGCTGAACAGTGGTTGCCAGAGGCTGGGAAGACATGGTGTAGAGAGAGGAGGGCCCATGGGTACAGCCTGGAGCAGTAACTTCCCATGTCGTGGTAACTGTGGTGGACAACACTTGTGGGTTTCAAAGCAGCTGGTGGAGAGGCTTTGTGAATGTCCCCACATGAAGAAACCATGAAGGTTCAAGGTGCTATATACACACATGACCCTGACCTAATGGTTACACAGTGTGGATGTATATTGTCATGTCACATTGTACCCCAAATATAAAAAAAAACATGATGCATCGGTGGTAAATTTTAGAACTATTAAAAAGAAAGTCTAAGACCCAAGAAAAGAGCTATTTGAGGAAAGACGGAGGCCCTCCTCACCTGCCATCCAGTCCTGTGAAGACCAGTGGGGAAACCAATGGGGGTGAGCACATGAAAGGCCATTCTGTCTCACAAAACAGGACAAAGAGCATTTGTGGTTCTTGGTGTATTTCCTTTGGTGAGTTGTTGATTTACTCTCTAGGTAACAGTTTCTTCTATTTAGATGTTTGACGTATGTGCTTTTCAACACTCTGATGTTATCCTTACTCTGTTCTCTTGGCTAATGTGGTTTTGACCTCAAGGACATCAAGGAGATAGAATGGGACCTGGAATGCCACCAGACAAATGGAAACTGTTCCTTCCTTAACGTCTCCTGGGGACCTCCTTGTGCTTATTAGAACTTCTTCCTCCAGGTCCATTTGCCAACCCCCTGTTTTTGAGAATATTTTTTGATTGTTTATTTTAACACAGGTCAGATAATGGCTATAGCAAAAGGGAACTCCTATGTAACCTGTGATTGAAAACTGACAGCTTAGCATTTCTGACAAGCAATTCTACATTCATTCAGGCAAGTTAATCTGATATCAGTAGCTGGAATCCATTTCTTTCCTATGGTGTGGCTGGGAGTGAGAAGAGCCTTGTGTTATCACATCGTGCTGTGTGTACAGGGCTGTGTGTGTTGGGTGGGTGTGTGTACCTTTAGGGAGGAGAGCAGGTTTCAGAGGAGAGGTACCTGGGCATAGTATACAGACTCTCGCCAAGGTGAGATGGTTCTACCTGTTATTCCTTGACTTTTCAACGGTGTAAAGCAATGTGCATTCTGAAGAAACTGTACATTGAATTTTGAACTTAGATTCTTTTCCAGGCTGGTGTTATGCTGTATGATACCCTCATGATGCTGAGAACAGACAGCATGTGCTCTGCCAGTTCAACATTGCAAGGGCTTGCAAGGGCTCAGAACTGCACTGAGGCTACAGTTACTGTGTTGCCCAGCTGGGATGCCCAGTAGGTTACAGACAGTCAAGGCATTTTCAATTTACAGTATTTTCCACTTGTTCTAGGTTAATTAGGCCATAATATAAGTTATAAAAATAATAAATTAGGGAAGATCTTTTGTATTCCTAATGGGGATTCATCATCCAGAGCCCAGAACTCAAGACAATAGATCGAAGTAAAAAGAGAATCCACTTCAATTCAAGGAAAGTTGTTCAGACAACTTAAATAAGTGCAAATGCAAAAAAATGGGCCAAGGCAGTCCTTTGGTCCTGATGGTTTGGTGGCAGCAGGAGACCCCTTCTTCTATACCTTTTATATACTTTTAATGGAAACATAACATTGGCACATATTTCAGGACTCAGTAGGATAACTTGACATGTGTCCAATGTGTAGGGATGAACTGAGGGGGACTGTCACTTCCACCTCTGTGAGTATTTGTCATTTCTGTTTATTTGGGATACTTTGGAGCCTTCTTTTTTTAGCTTTTTTGAAAGACAGGTTGGTTAGTGTATAATTACACTACTATGTTATAAAACAGCAGAACACATTGTCTTTTCTAACTGTGTTTAGGTACTGTAATCCAATCTTTCTCTCTTCTGTGCCCTACTCTTCCCAGCTGCATTGGCCATTAGTCCACCCTTGTCTTCCATGAGATCCCTTATCTTTAGCTTCCACACATTGGTGAGGACAGGCAGTGTGTGTCTTTCTGGGCCTGGCATATTTCACTTACTTAATGTCTGCCAGTTCTATCATGATCCTGGAAGTGACAAGGTTTCATTCTTTTTAAGGCTGAACTTAAAACACTTGTCTGATTGTACACATTCTCTTCATCCATGAATGGGCACTTGGCCTGATTCTGTATCTTAACGATTATGAACAGTTCCACAATAAACGTGGGATGCAGAGATCTATTCACTCTCCGATTTTGCTTCCTGTAGATATGTACCTAGCAACCTTCAACACTTTGGAAAATCAACTCTTAACAGTCTCCTACCTCTTACCAAACAAATTAAAATTTTGTCATATATCATCTCATTTAATTCTTACAAGAGCTTTACAAACTGGTTACTATGATCACCACATTTTTATAACTTAAAAAATTGAGACTCAGAACATTTATCAATTATTGTGTATAGAAACACAAAACTGATTAGTATGTTGGAATTTGGGGGGCCCAGAGGGTTACTCTCAGGGTTACTCTCCATTTGCTACACTGTAATCATAAGGGCTACACTTACTGGCTCTTTCTTAAATACATAGTTACATATTATAAACTACAAAAGAAACAATTATGGTACAGGTGTGATTACAATGAGAAACTTCTGTACCTTTAAAAATTTTTAACCAGCACATAATCATTTTCTATATGTGTGAGATATACTGTATGATATTTTGAAACATGTATACTTTGTGTTGTCCAAATCACAGTAGCTATCATTTCCATCATCTTATACGATTATCCTTTCTAAATTCTGTGAGATCTTTTTTCAGATGTCGCCATGTGTTTTTGGAATTGACTTTTGGCTTTTAAAATAAACCACCTTCATCCACTCTTTTCTTTTAAGCATCAGTTATCATCTGAAGTGTTATGCACTTTAATTTTTTTCTTATATTCTTTCTATATCATAAGATTTTAGGGATGTTTATTTTCTTCTGCATTGTTGACACATTGTCTAGAAACCCCAGGGACAAGGTTTATACTAAATTTTATTTTTAAGTGCAAAAAAAAAAAACTGTGTTTAGTAGATTACATAATTTCTTGGGATAGAATGAGAATGGGAAAGGAGTTCTCAATTGTAAATGCTGGGGTGATTGCTAAAAGAGGACCAGATTCTTCATATATGAAACATAAAAATCATTTCTTGGCTGTAACATAAATGAGACCATTTCTGAAAAGTTAGTAATACTTGTCTGATTGTTGTTGTTGTTGTCTCTCTCTCTCTCTCTCTCTCTCTCTCTCTCTCTCTCATCAGATGGACCACGTGGAACAAGGGAATGGTACACACATTTCAGAATTCCATCTTCTGGGATTTTCAGAGCAACCTGGATGGCAACCCTTCCTCTTTGGGATTTTCCTCTCCATGTACCTGATCACTGTGTGTGGGAACCTGCTCATCATCCTGGCCATCACCTTGGACTCCCACCTGCACACACCCATGTACTTCTTCCTCAGCAACCTGTCTTTTTCTGACATCTGTATCACCTCCACCACTGTCCCCAAGATGCTGGTGAACCTGCAGACACAGAGCCAGGCCATAAGCTTTGAAGGCTGCATCATGCAGATGCACTTTTTCATAGTCTTTGCCAGTTTGGAAAACTTCCTCCTGGCCGTGATGGCCTATGACCGCTTTGTGGCCATCTGTCACCCCCTGCACTACACAGTCATCATGAACCCCCAGCTCTGCATGTTGATGGTTGTGGTGTGCTGGATCCTGAGTGTCTTGCATGCCCTTTTACAAAGCTTAATGGTGTTGCGACTGTCCTTCTGCACAGACTTGGAAATCCCCCACTTTTTCTGTGAACTTAATCAGGTGGTCCAACTTGCCTGTTCTGACACTTCTCCTAATGACATGGTGATGTACTTTACATCTGTGCTGCTGGGAGGTGGCCCCCTCGCTGGCATCCTTTACTCTTATTCCAAGATCGTCTCCTCCATCCGTGCAATCTCATCAGCTCAGGGGAAGTACAAAGCCTTCTCCACCTGTGCATCTCACCTCTCCGTGGTCTCCTTGTTCTATTTTACAATCCTAGGAGTGTACTTCAGTGCTGCTGCAACCCATAATTCACACTCAAGTGCAACAGCCTCGGTGATGTACAGCGTGGTCACCCCCATGCTGAACCCCTACATCTACAGTCTGAGGAACAAGGACATCAAGAGTGCTCTAAGAAGATACCCCCCAGGGAAACTGTAATGGTGGTTTTCCAGAACTCTCCCTGACTGCACGGCTGTCGTCCTCAGAGCTGGTGACCGCAGTTCCATGTCAGGTCACAGAAGTACAATTTGATTTTTCTTCAAGTTTCATCTTATTTAACTTCAATGACTTTATATAATTTAAATAAGCCCCTTCTCAACATTTCTTCTCTTTCTGATATTCAATGTTTTCTTTTCCTTTTTGTCATGTTCCTACTTTCTCAAAGTTATCACCAATTTTGGAAATATTTTGAGGTTCCCACTGTCTGATGGTAATTAACTGTACTAATGTGGTATAAGCTACATTAGGAAGTTAAGGTGGTTTGTATAACTTTATAGCAGGAGACAATCTGAAAGTGAATTTTTTGACACCTGCATTCCTGATTCCTTGCTCATCTCTCCTTAACTGCTCTCCCTGGTAACACAGACCTTAACATATGAGTATGTTTCCCAGCTGTCATGGGTGTTTGTTCTCCCCATGATGGTCTTGTTTCTCTCCAGCATGGTCCTCAGTGCGTCCTGTTTTGCCCTGCATAGTGTAGTAAGGCCAAAATTATGAATCCAAGTTAGAACTATAGTTAGAACTATAATGGACACCGAGAGACCAATTTTACTGTCTTGGTAAACTTAGAGTCAGATATGACCAAGAATCGTGAGGACTAAAATGTTCAACCATACTTGAATTACTCTGGAAGATTTCTTTTTGGTGATGTACATGATTCTGGAGCAACTAGGACTGGTGCATGAGAACCAGCCCCAACCTGCTGGGGGGCTTAAGAAAGCGAGGCAGATGGACCCAGAGTACAGAGTTTACTGGGGACTGACTGACAGAAGCCTGGTCCTGGGCCACAGCGAGACCAAGTGGATCCCTGCAGTTTGGGTCAGAAGGAAGAGCATATATATGTGGGTTTGGACAATGACTTCATTTGAGCCAGAATTTACCTGGTTTATCTTAAGCTTATATCAAGTCAGGGCCATCCCTAGAGCCAGGTCCAGGTGTACAGCTGCACACACCAGGATGATGGCTTGGTCTGCTAGAGTTTGCTGGAAACTCTGCAGGAAACACCACCATGGGTTACTCTGGGGCAATTGTGGTGGCTAAGATTCCAGATGGCTGCAGCTATGTCACACTGGGTCCATGCACACATCTAGTCACCAAAGTATAGACACTTGATGTCCACACCATGGGGTCCCACTAGACAGAAAGTCCTCATACAATTTTCTATATTGTTTTATATCATATTTCTGCTTAAAACTCTCCAGTGCTGCCAACTAATATGACTCCCTCCATTGCCATTAACAAAGTATCTCCCCCTTTACACACTTTGCCACCCACATTAGTGTGCAAGTGAGTGACAGGAGCATCACGATCATCAGTTTATCTTTAATGTTCTAAATTCTCTTAAATCCTCATGATCAAAGGATGACTCATGCAAGACATTGACTAAGACGCCCAGGTATGGCTCTGGGGATGGAGACTTCTGCTTTTGCCTACAGGGTACTTATGGGAAAAACAAAAACCTGCTCTGGTAGGGAAGGGAAAGTTTTGGGGAATGACACAAAACCTCTTTTTATGTACAATTATAATGTACTAATAAAAATAAATGGATTTTTTAAAACATTGTTTTAATCACTCCCAAATGCATAAAAGGGAAAATCAATAGAATTCTGGTTTTTAATACCATTATCTGAAATGAACATGGAAAATCCTGGTCATTAGGAATATTGCCTTCAAATATCAGAACAAATGCCAGAAATAAGAATCAACTGATTATTCCCAATAATCTCAGTTCTATTTGCATTGATCACTGTATCAGTAAGCCGTTGCTGCATAACAAGCTATCCCCAAGGCGAATGATTTAAGATGATCTTTTTCTTACCTCATAGGCATCTAACAGAATGTGCCTGTCATACTTCTCTTAGCATGACATGCTCTAATGTCATTCATATTGTTTTAAGTGAATGAATGACAGTTGCGTGGTATTCCATTGTGTAATATATACTACATTGTATTTATTCATCTACCAATGAACATCAAAAGCACTATATTAAATTGGTTTTATTTCCTTGACATCCTTTTAATTGTTAAGCTTTTTTTCTATATTTACATAGTGCCCATACATTTACACAATACCATGAGACTGTGAGGACCAACAATGGAAATTCAGTCCCTGCTTCTGTGGATATCTGTGGGATATCATGTAGATATTATTCTGGTGAATAGAGAAAACGACCAGATAAATGTGTTAGGCTGCTTTCTTCAGGGATAAATCTTATGAAAAAAAAAATGCCACCCAATGTGAAAGGATACAATCATCATGGTCGGCACAGAACCTTACAGAATATGGTCTGGAGAGGTCTCTACATGTTGGAAAAAGACCAGAACAGGAATTAAGCATACCAATTAGATTTCTCAAAAAGGAGATCAACAAACCTTATCCACTCCCTGCAAAAAAAAAAAAAAAAGAAAGAAAGAAAAGAAAAGAAAGGAAAAAGAAAAAAATTGCCACAAATAGCAATAATAAATTTTATTTTAACCTATATACAAATATACAACAAAGCCCATCATCCTGTATAATTACATGCATGATTAAAAAAGATAATATGATGACATGAAAATTATGTGAAACTCAAAAAAAGTGAGACACAGACATGCTTGACTGTTATTGGTGTGTATAAAAGCCAATCATTCGAATAAATATATAATAAGCAAAAGAAATACCAACCTTATATTTTCTTATATAGTATATGACCAATTTGTGTTGTTTTTATTATTAAATTGTTCCTAATTTCTTACTTATTTCCTTTGTTTATTACTTTATCCTGTAATGTTCAATCTGCAAATGTCCTGACATTATTAAAAATATATAATTATTTCAAATACATCTTTTGCATGGATTTGTTTTCATTATTTTTATGACTTTGGCTGGCCACCAAGGGGCTGTGATGTAGTTGGAATGCTTCCAGAAACAAGGGAGCTTTTGCTCTTATAGTCTCTTGGGGAATCACTGAGCTTATTAGACCTTCCTCTTTCAATCAGGTCCAATTAATTCCATTCTCACTGTTTACTGATTAAATTTCTAAATGTTTTCTCTAGCAATCAGGAAAGAAAATAGCCACAGCGAATGGAGCCCCAAGCTTACACATGTATAAGAGATTGTTGAACTGGAAATTCTGGGTTCCATAAATATATTCTTTTTTTAAAAAATTCATAACACTTACTAAGGGAAAGACAGTCTGATATTGACAGCTTTCCTTGTATCCATTTCTTTTCTAACATTAGAAAGTACCTAAATGAGAATATCATGGTACCAACATGGCCCCAGGAGGCTATCTTGTATGTGGATTGTACGGTTGGGCTTAATTATACTCCAAAAGGTGACTTAACACTACACAGAACAGAATTCAAGATAAATGGAGTTATAGAGGTCCACATTTCATTCCACAGGGCACCTTTGTGTCCAATTTAGTGGAATGTACATGCAACAACACCTGGCCTGAGGGACTCCTCAGGTCCTTACACACAACGGGGCAGCCTGGTTCTTCAGCCTTCTCTGTCACCATCTTCATCTTCTCTGTCACCCTCCTGCTCATCCCCCTCACCACCCTGGATTCCTTGTTGCTATTATAATTATTATTTCAAAAGCATTCTTTGCATTAGAGTCCACTCTCTCAGTTGTACATTCTATGACTTCTGACAAATGTATAATGACACTCACCCACAGTCTCTTACAAAATCATGTGACTCTCCTAAAAATCTTCTCTGTTCCACCTATTCTTATCTCCATGCATCCAAACCCATAATGGCCAACTACTGCTTTGTGTTTTGTTTTTGCCATCTTCACAGTACTCTCTTGTCTTCAATGTCATACAGTTTGGGTTTTTTGTTCCAGTTTGTTTTCATGATCTTGGAGATCAAACCCAGGGCCTCGTATGTGCTAAGCTGTACCACCAAGTGACACCCACAACATTGGGTCATACAGGTGGAATCATTCAGCATGGAGCCCAATGAGGTTGGCTTTTTCACTTAGTGGTGAACATTTAAGGTTCCTCAATGACTTTTTAAGACCCGAAAGCTCTCTCTTTTCCATGGCTCAGTAATGAATTTTCCATTGTGTGGATGTACCCCGATTTGGTTTACCTATTAAAGGACATGTTGGTTGCTTCCAAGTTTTGGCAAATACAAATAAAATCACTATCAATGTTTATGTGCAAGTGGATATTTTATTGTTGTTTTTGCCTGTGTGGACATGAGTTTTCAACTGATTTGGGTAACAACTAAGGAGTGCAACTGCTTGATTAATAGGAACAGTATGTTTAGTTTTATAAGAAATTACTAAACAGTATTCTGAATTGGTCCTCATGTTTTGCATTCCTATCAGCAATGAACAGAGTTTCCTCTTGCTCCAAACCATTGTCAACACTTACTGTTTCCATTCATTTGAAACTTAATTATTTCAATAGGTGTGTCATGGAATCTCATTATTTTATTTGGCAGCTCTCTAAGGACAGATGACACTAGGGATGTCCTCATGTGCTTATTTGCCATCTGAATGTCTTCCTTGGTGATGTCTCCACTCAGAACTTATGTCAGTTTTTCCAATTGGGTCATCTGACTCCTTATTAGTGACTTTTAAGAGTCATCTATATATTTTGAACAGCAGTATTTTATCAGATATTTGTTTTGCAGAGACTGTATCCCATCTATGACCTGAATTTCTTTTTACTAACAATACATTTCTCAGAGAAGTTTTTCATTTTACTGATCTATCAATTCTTCCTTTAGTATACTGGGCTTTTTGCATTTTATCTAAAAGGCCATTGCCAAATCCAATGTCATCTAGATTGTTCTCTGTTATCTTTTGAGATTTCTACAGTTTTGCATTTGACCTCAAGGCTTATATCCATTTTGAGTTTATTTGTCCTTTGGGGATAAGTTACGGGTTCTAGAGTATTCATGTATGTGATATCCAGTTGCTCTAGAACCACTTCTTGGAAGAC